CTATCCGGTAATTTTAGAACAAATAGCTCAGTTCCTCCCTATTAGCTTCCGTTAGATCAAAATTGAAGTTCTGACCTTTTGAACAGCTTTTTCTGTTTCTGGTGAAAGAAAACTATTTTAATATTTTTATAGTTTACATTTAACCTTTTGTGCTATACCACTTAGCGACGGCATGCAGCACATTTTAAAAACGATAAGACATTATGTTTTCAAGCCTACATCTAATTCGAATGAGAATATCATCTGCGTAGCCCTGATTATCGAGTTCATTTTCAATAGGAATTCACACTAGTTTGTCTACTAAGAGGGATAATATAAAGGGGCAATTACTCCATCCTAAGGGCTGAGCGGCTAGGATGCGTGCTGGCACTCCGTAATACCTGAGTTCGATCCTTGGACTGAGCAAGTTTTTTCTAAACAACGGTCGCCCATCGGCAGGTATTGATAAACCTCTTAGGATATTTCTGCCATGAAAAAGCTTCTCATAATACCAAAAGGTAAGCGCAAAAATATAAATATTTGTATGGGTTTAGAAATATATGCCGCATCCTATTGGCTATCTGTTCTCATGGTCTTGGGCAAGCAGCTGGTGTGGGACTACCTTCCTTTGACCTGCTGGGAATCCTTCACTACATCTTCGTCCTCATCTTCTTCGCTTTGAAAAGTGCCTTCCCTCAGTCTGTGCCATCAGCCCCTAGTAAAGTATTCGAACTTCTTACACCTAATTTTTACTATTAAAAACTGATTTTTTGTCCTATAATCGAGTGCTTCCTTTTTTCTATTAATTTTAAGTGGTATATATGCGTACACTTCCAGCATTAACTTACGCCACAATATACGGTAATATTTTATATTAATCTAAAAAGTAAATACGACTAATTACCCTCTTTGACATTTTGTGTGACAGTGAATGTTTTCCCTGTATCCAATGGCACAGTCCAATTGACTGGATCCGGTGAGCGCATCAAAATTTGCTCTGGCGATTTGACGCGTGTAGGCTCTGGTGGCGATTTGACAATTGGCTCATCGGGTATTTCGGGCGCTGGTTGAGGGCTGCAACTTGACACGGAAATGGCGGTCTCGCGACCATCTTCAGCATCGTCTAAAACGTAGGCGATTGCACGATGAAGAAAAATAAAATTAAAACACGGAAAGAAACAAGAGTTAGTATGATTTTTATAATAGAATAAAAGGCAATTGTGTTAACATTTTTTTTTTTAGTTAATTTATGTGACCTATTAATTTATTTGGGTACATTTTTTTAATATATATCGTTTATATGTATATAAAATATTCGTTTTTCACAGCTGATTGAAAACAAATTTAATGGTTTTGAGTTTTGCGGTTAGTAAATCGAAATAGTAAAACAAATTTCACTTGTAACCCAGTAAAACGTGGTGTGAAATCGATATTTAAATGTTTACAAAAATAAAGCAAACTTATAGAAATTAGTTAGTTAAACATTTCTTGGAGCATTCAAAAGCAGTAAAAAGCACTGCATTCCATAATCGAACAAAAGGTAAAAAAAGGGAAAAGAAAGGCAATTAAAATGAAAGCTTAATTAGTAAGTAAAAAGCATAGAAAAATGCAGAACCCCAGTTAAATTGGTGTAGACATAGCCAATTAGCATAGGAAAGGAGGAAATGGAGCCTGGGAGAAAAGAAAGTAAGTAGTTGTGGTAGGCAGAGAAGAAGAACATTCACATAGGCAAATTTAAATATTTATTAGTTATTCATAAGTGTTTTTTTTTGTTGTTATATAGTTAGTAGATAGTTAGTTTGTGACATGCAGCACAGAAGGCATCGGCTGTGGAGCAGACAAAAGGTATTTTTTTTTTTTTTAATATATGTACATACGAATATTTATTATAGTTGGGTATTTAAACAATGTATGTCCGAAATTAATTGACAATAAATCAATAACAAACGGCTAAAAAAATTTAACTCAATTATTCTTTATGAATTTAATGTATGCGTGTGTGTGGGTGATTGATAAATGTACTTACTATGTAACTAGGTGTGGTAAATCAGTTAAGCTCTGCGCGGTTTTGTTTTTTTTGTATTTTTTTTTTCACTTAATAGCATAAATAATTTAGTGGCCAATTCAATTTAAAATTCTCTAAATATTTAGACTTTGAGAACCAAATAAGTACATTATTCTAATATGCGAAGTTTTTGCCTTTACTTTTGGGGTTATCTATCACCTGATCGGAAATATCTGCTGAAATAAAATGTTTCTAATAATTTTCACACATTTACCTACATATATAGGAGTTCTCAGAAAAACAAGTTCTTTGGTGTTTGTCAGGTTTTTACAGTAAATTTGTATAGAGGTCATTGAAAGAAATACATATCTATAAGAAAATTGTCACAAACATACGCATAAGCACTAATTAGGTTGAAACTAGGATAGAGCAAAAGCTTAACTGAGGGGGAAACTACCGAGTACAATTAAACAAATATACATATTTAGCATACACATAGCAAATACGGTCATATAACAATAAACATACATAAATAGAGTATTTTTTTTAATTCTGTACCGGTTTTGTTGTAGCGGAGTTGTACTTTTTTATGCGCATACAACATATGTAACACACACACAAAAAGGCATACATGTATAACAAGGATAAAAAAGCGTAAGTTCCAGGTATTTACGAAATTTGTTGTGTAAACATTTGTGTACAGTTTGGAAAAACATTGGAGGATTCAGTTACATACATAAATAGGTTAGGTTCATTTTATAGAGACCAGTACGCGACGTATTCATAAGCAGTTCGGGAAAACTTGAATGCCATTTCAGGATCATTTCGTCACCAATTTCGAATTACCCCAGAATCGTCCTCTAAACTAACTTCAAAATTGTTCTGAAGTGGATATAAAAAGTCTTCAACTTTTCCCCGAAGGATCTTGAAAAATTTTTGAAACGTTCCGGAAATGGTCACATACTAGTCCAAAATAATCCTAAACTAGTCCAGAAATGAACCAAATATATTGCTTGACTAGTCTCAAATAGTTCAGAAGTGGTACCGAAATGGGCCTGAAATAGTCCTGAAATGGTGGAAAAAGTTGCGAACTTGTCCCAAAATGATCCTGAAATAGTCCTGAAACGGTCCTGGAACAGTCCTGAAACGGTGGAAAAAGTTGTTAACTTGTCCCGAAATGATCTCGAATAAGTCTTGAATCGGCTCCGAAATGATCACTTATAAGTCCTTAAATGATCCGGAACTAGTACAAAAATGGTCCTGAACTACCCCCAAATGGTTCTGAACTAGCCCTGAAATCGTTCTGAACTAGTCCCAAATTCATCCCGTATTAAACCCAAATATTTGATGAGATAGCCCTGAGCTAGTCCACAAATGGTCCTCAGACAGTCGCGAATAAGTCTTGAACATGTTCCCTAAAGGTGCCGAACCTAGTGGTGTACTAGGCCCGAAATGGTCTCGGAATAGCCCTGAATTATGTAGTCGAGAAGTGTTCAGTTATACACAAAAAAAACAATTACAGTGATACTGCTGGGTTAAGGCATATTTTACACATATCGAGAATTTAGTAGAAGTAATTTAGAGCCGATATCTCAATACTATTATAAACACTATATATATCATAAACTCGAAAAATAGCCAAGTATCAATAACTTATGGCATATTTATAATAAACTAGGAACTAAAAAGCCTGGATCAGTCACTCTCTTCACTATATCTATTTGATCGCAAAATTTTATGCAAATTGTATGGAAAGCGATCGCATGTTCTGAGAGCTGAGTGATGGGATCGCCTTCCAAGTTTCAGGGCCTGGCATGGATATGTATAACGGCAGCCATAAGCACTTGCCAACTCCTGTGGGTCTCCGCCCTCAAAGGCATACAGTGCATCGGAGAGCCTGACAGACTAGCAAGGGAAGTAGCATCCCCACGATTTGTAGGAGCAGAACCCCTCCTTGCAGTAGGACCTCATACCATCAAGGAAGAGTTAAGAGCAGAAGAATGTCAGCTAAGCAAAGCACTTAGGGAGAACATGACTTGGACTTGACTAGGGCACGCGAAAGAAATTCTTGGAAATCTAGGGGACTAAACACTTGCCAAAAGGAAAACCAGAGATGTTTAACAGTACTGCTAACGGATCACTGAAAACTTCGGTCCCATATCAACACTCTGGGGGTCAGTGCAGAGGACTTCTGCCGTTATTTCAACAAGGCAGCAGAGACCCCACTGCATCTGTTTTTATAATGCATTGGGGTTGCAATATATCCAACCCTATAATGGTAGGTGTTATGATTAGGAATCCCCTAATTCTCACGATTCATTTAATTTACAAAAATCGAAGAAGAAAGTCGCAATAAATCGATTGCAAATTTTATTTTATTTATCATACGACACACAAATATTGACAAGTTTTGACTATTCACTTTTTACTATCTAATTTTAATTCAAAATATAGTTCATTCCATAACAAAAATCATGTAAGCCCAAGTTTAAGACTTTCTACAAAAATTCTTAAAAAGCTACAAAGTTTCATCAAAATTTCACAATTTTTATTCAGAAGTTTTATAATACTTTTGGGCATGATAAAAATATATAGTAAGGTAGAACCGCTGAGCGACACTTTTAAAATTCTTCATGTTTCTAAGTAATTTAATTTTAAAATTTACCCCCAAACTCACACACACATTTTTATTTTCAATCTCAAGCAACAACAATTTCGAACAATTTCCATTTTTTATTCCAATTTTATATGATTTTAAAATGCTGGCAAACTTCAAAAAATATCATGGCCGACAAATTGAGAGAACGGTTCTACCTTCCTATGTTTTTATCATGCTTTTGGGTATAAATACAGTTTTATAGTCCATAATCTATAAACATGTTTTACATTTTTTGTTACAGAATTAAGTATTTTTTTAACAAAAAAAAAACTAATTAAAATTCAACACTCCTACTAATATTATAAATGTGAAAATTTTTGAGTGAGGAGTGTGTTTTTTGCTTTTGCACGCTATAAATTGGCAATTGGCAATTGGCCGAAAACACTCCAATTTTTTCATAAGTTAACTAAAATATTACAAAATAGATGTCTTCTTTAGTTAAATAATGTGTTACACAATGGATGTCAATCGAAAATATTTTTAAAGTGGGTTGCCACCTGTTAAAAGGCAAATTCTATTTTTCCATGAGTTATATAATGTATTACAAAATGTATGTCAATCGAATGAGGTACAAGAAGGCTTTGTTTCGGAATTATTTTGAAAGAGGGTTGCCACCTGTTAAAAGTCAAATCTCATTTCTTCATAAGTTAAATAATGTGTTACAAAATGAATGTCAATGAATGAGGTATAAGAAAGCTTTGCTTCGAAAATATTTGTAAAGAGAGTTGCCACCTCTTAAAAGAAAAATCTCATTTCTTCATAAGTTAAATAATGTGTTACAAATTGAATGTCAATCATATGAGGTATAAGAAAGCCTTGTTTCGAAAATATTTTTAAAGTGAGTTGCCACCTATTAAAACTCAAATCCCATTTGTTCATAAGTTAGATAATGTACTACAAAATGGATGGCACTCGAAAGAGATTACAGAAAGTTTAACGTTGAACTATTTCTATAAAACGAATGTCAATGGGATGAGGTATAAGAAAGCTTTGTTTTGAAAATATTTTTAAAGTGGGTTGCCACCTGTAAAAAGTGAAATTACATTTTTTCATAAGTTAGATAATGTATTACAAAATGTATGTCAATCAAATGCGGTATAAGAAAGCCTGGTGTTGAAAATATTTGTAAGGAGGGTTGCCACCTCTTAAAAGGAAAATCCAATTTTTTCATAAGTTAAATAACATATTACAGAATGGATATCAATCGAAAGAAGTAGACATATACAACACAGCTATTTAAAAAATAATAATTTAAATCAATAAGTAAAATAAAATATTACAAAATGATGTAAAGTTAAATACAAGATTTTTATAACGCCTTTAATTCGAAAATATTTTTAAAAGGGTTTGAAACATGTTTAAGAGCCTAATTAAATAAATAAGTTAATTTAATGAAATATTACAATATGGATGTTTTATTGGGAAAATCAAATGCAAACGAACATTTGTAAAATGGAATATATGTATTTAATTTTTCCAGAAAACGTAAAATAAATATACGAATGAGATATTAATATAGTAAAGAGTGTTGTGTTTGTTTACTCAAGCACATTTTTTTAAAGATATGTACCCTATAAAAATAATAAAAAACTTTATGTACGCCGTATAAAGACTGGCGATGAAATGTAAGTTGTTTTATACTGAATGATGTTCTGGAACCTCGATACCACCGCTTTTTTACATAAAATTAACTTTTTCTTGGTGATATAATTTATTTCCCTTTTGTTGCAACTGAAATCATAACCTTAAAGCTTACTGCGGGCGGCACAAAGCTAGTAAAAAAATAAATAGTCAAAACTTGCCAATATATGGGTATCGTATATGATAAGCGCTATACATTTCTCACATAAGAATTCAGCATTTCAAACCAATCAAAGAACCTATATTTAAAGTGTATGCCTAGAAGGAAGTTAAAAAAAAAAATTATGATATCTGATGTAAAGTTTTCTGCTCTATCAAATGTATGTCTACCAGACTTTCGGAGCTATGGTATCTTAAGATAAATAATTATGTGAAAATTTATTTACAATAAAGCTTTACGCACACAAAAGCACACGAAAAGCTTCCACAGAAAAAGTCGGCTTCACTAATACTTAATTCTAAAATAAAGCTGACTTTGTATGCAAAAAATATGATCAAAAACACATCACCACTTCTAAGTAAAAATTTTTAAAATTAAAAATCACTTTTTGCTTAAAGAGTTTTTTGTTGTTAATATTTTTAAATTTTACAACATTTATAGATACATATACATACATTCATACATACATACATATATACAAGGAAACAAAAATAGTGTTTTAATTGTTTATTTCATTTTTCTTTGAACTGTGTTTCGTTGCAGTTGTTTACGTTACACGACTATACAAGTTGGGAATAAAAGTTACTTTATTAGTGTTGTTGTTATTATTATTATTAATATTTGTTGCAAAACCAAACTAAGGTTAGTACAATTACTTATGCAGGTACACAAAAATTGCTTGCTTTATCACACACATACATATATATGGTATTTATGTATGCCTGCATAATTGGTAGTAAGTCAGCAAATGCTTCATCTACTCACTTTCGCCCAATTTCTTAATATCCCGCGTATATGGTACCGTTAAGCCAGTCAATGTGAGATTTTTAGCCATTGTTGGCTCAACGGCTATCACCGCTGCGACATCATCATCATGGCCGCCGCCACCTCTAGCACCACTCTGGTGGCCACCAGCACCACCAACAATGCCAACAAAACCACCAACATTACCACCACTGCTGCCACTACCACCACCAGCAATCGCACCGACATTGCGGCCATGTGCTAAAGTTGCGTTGTCGTCTCTGCCGCTACTGGGCAATTGGCCGAAAACACTCGTCATCATGGGATCAGCGGCTTTTCCACCAGGTAGTTGTCCGAAAATGCTTGCGGTCATGAGATCAGCGCTTCTAGCACCACTGCCATCTTTGTCGCCGGCTATCTGCCCACCAAATATGCTAGCCATCATGGGATCGACTGATTTAAATGGCAATTCTTCGGTCACCTTGGGCTTTATTGACGGCACTATTTCTGCAGGTGTTGCTTTGTCTTTAGCCTGAGCGGTAACCGTTTGTGCTGCAGCTGCAACTGCCGCGGTTGTGGTTGCGGCTGCAGCTTGCTTTGTGTCTTCAACTTTTACATCGTTTTCTTTCTTTGCGTTTGTTACTGGTGTCTTCTTTACGTCGGTGGCGATTTGTTGAGCTGTCAACTTTGCTGTCACTGCTGCATTTGGCGCCGTCAATATGGTCTCCGTGGCTGAAACTGGCCTAGCTGGTTTCACTGCGCTGGTTGTTGTCACATTTAACGCAGCGCCAGTGGATTTTGGCCGCGGTTTAACCATTCTGCTCTCGCCTGCCGCCTTGCCGCCTACGACACTTATCATATTCGTCTTGTCTTTATCCTTCTTACGCAACAGCGGCATTCCGTAGGCGGTTTGTGTATAGTTTTTGCACAACTGACCGGATTTCTGAAACGCTTGTGGTTCATAAGCTGCTTTGGTTGATTGATGCAGACGATTTGACTGCTGCTGTTTTGAGGCTGTTGTGGTAGTTGTAGTAGTAGTGGTAGCTGCAGTAGCAGATACTGATTGAGCTCTGCCGCTAGGAGGTGGTAGGGAACTACTTTTCGTACGGGAGTGGAATGTGGTGGATAAGGTGGCTAAAAATGTAAGCAGGTTTTTGCATTTGTTTTTTGTTTTTTTTTTTGGTTTTTGTTTTTGAAGAAATAAGTCATTAGAAAAAATAAACAACTCTTTTACTAAGCTGCATTTAAAAAATCGTGTATATGAAAAAGTTCTAGAATAATTTAAAATAAATAAGTCAATGCTACAAAGAATATATTTAGAAATCAATTGTAATTACAACGCAACTGACTAAATAGCAAATATCAATAATAGTAAACAGAAAGAAAGTCTACAAAATAGAATAAAAACCAAAGATGAATCTACAAAAGAATGATAATCAAAATCGGTTATGGGTTTCAAAAATTTTTAGTGGTTGCCATGGGTCCGCCACAAGGGTGGGTACTGCAAAAAAACAGTATGGTCTGGTTGTGATAAAAACTTTTAAATTGGTTTTTATGTAGATACTTTGGTATGTGTTTCAAATTGCATTATTAAGGAGAAATGAATGTACATTTGCACAAAAAAAAAACTTGGAAATTCGCCAAATTCACGCAAAAATTAAATTTTATAAAAAAAAAATTAACGGAAAACGTCGGAGCTATATTACAGATGACAAATGGCAAAAAGTTGAAAATATTGCGCAAATTTTGCGCATTTTTTAAGTCAATCACTATGGGGGAAATAATATATTTATATAGGATTTACATGCTATTCGACCAACAATTTTATTTTTAGTTTCAAGAGTTGTCAAGTGATTATCTATTTACACGGTTCTGATCTATGTACGAAGATATATAAAGTAATTATACTATACTTAATATTTATTAGACTGTATCAACGAATATTTTTTTCTTTCGGGCCCTTTTGGAAATTTCATTGTCGGTCACAAAAAAGTAATTGTGTAAAATTTTCAGCTCTATATCTTCACTTTTCAGTTCGAGCTCGCAAAGATAAGACTTTTTAATAAACAAAAATGCTCGCCTACTTTTTGTAACTCTTTGTTACCATTTTCCACCAAAAAAAAATTAAAACGAAGTTTTCACTATCATCTTATTTCTTATCTAAAAGAAAAGTAAAATTAAACAAACAAATTGAAAAAAAAATTTCGGCGTGGGCCCATTGAAATTTGTACGATATATCGCACAAAGTCGGGGAAAGCAGTAAACAAGCGACATTCTGGGTGCATATAGTTTCGCTTCCACTTAAAAAAAAAAGGTAAGTGCGCCTGGGCCACACTGGAGAAGTGAAACTTACGTTATATATCTATTTTGTCTCATAACATACATACATACATCTGCTTTTTCTTAGGGTTGTATTTTTTGTCTTCTTTCTATACAGTTCCCTACCTCTACCCCTGTTCGTTCTAATTACATTTATGTTATTCTGTTTTCCTTTAGCTTCATTTTTATCTTTATACTCTATCGATAACAAAATCGATGGTAACATTCAACAAAATATCGACAGCAAGTTCGATAAAAATTTCGATATCAAAACCGATAATAAAATTGGTAGCAAACTCGATTAGAAAATCGATAAGAATATCAAAACAAAAATCGCTTACAAAATCGATAAAAATGTCGATAAAAACTTCGATAACAACATCGATAAACAATTGATAACAATACCGATAAAAATGTCGATAACAAAATCGATAACCAAGTCGGTAACAAAATCGATAAATAATCGATAACAAAATCGATAAATAATCTATAACAGTATCGACAACCAAATCGACAAAAATATCAATAACAAAGCCAATAAAAATATCGACAAAAAATATTGATAATATAATCGTTTAAAATATCGATAAAAGTATCGATAGGAAAATCGATAAAAATATCGATTATAATATCGATAAATTCCGAAGATATCTATAGCAACATCGACAACAATATCAATGAAAATTTCGATAACAAAATCGATAAAAATATCGATAACAAAACCGATAAAAATATCGATTATTATATCGATAAGTCCCGAGAATCCCCAAAATCTCTAAACTCCTAAAATAGTTCACAAGTTGAGTCTCTGTGTCTCCATCTACATAAATTCACTTCACTTCAAAAAAAAATTGCGCTAAAATTAGATATGTTTTTATTTTTAACCTGTAGATGCCATAAATGTAATACTTCTAAATTGCTGGTACAAAATGAACGCAATTTCAGTTCGAAATCAAAGAAAGACAGCCTATGAGATTTTTTTTTGATTGTCGTAGTATAGATGTATGCACAGCACTCCACAAAAAATCCTTAAATTGTCAAACGGGACAAAAAAAATTTACATCGTACAATGCTGGCCAAGGTTTGGTAAACAAATAAATATAACAAATAAAAAACATATCTCGTAGCCCATTAAATTTTAGTATAGTAATGGCAAATTGAAATAAGCTGGGATTTTGGCAAATTTTTTTTTTCTTTTTTTAAAAGCTTCCCTCATCTTTTTCCATATAAATAAGTCGTCGAACATACGTTTTATGGAAGAAAATTACCGTGAACAAAGAAAAATTTGCAAAAATCAACGGTAAGCCCTACTTACCTCAAACTTACATTTATTATACTAAAATTGAATGGGGTACAAGTCTGGGTTTTTATTTTTTATATTTAAATTTTATTAAAAAAAAAATTGCCGAAAAAAATGTTTTTCATTAAAAGAGAAGATATGGGGCTAAAATTTTGTCACAACTATTTCGTTTTATTTGACACTCTCTAGTAGTTGTACATACATATCGATGGTCCTCTGCAATAACGACACAACTCAAGATTTCATGTTTTTGAGTTCTAAAGCCGATTAGATTAAAAATAACCATAACTATTTTTATGTGGCAAAACGACATATGCGTACTTCTTTTCAATCCGATAAACATAATTTTAATTATATGTTTTTTTTTTGTACAGTCAATATATTTTATATATATGTTTAACTTTACATGTTCGATTTATCGGCTTGAAAATCTGCTTTAAACTGTATAAGTCTAAGTGATCATATTGAAGTAAGCAGAGGGTTAAGGGGATAACGGGCCAGTGTCGAGTATCCGTATCGTCGCATATTTATTTTAACAGTTTTTACGCCAGTACATATAATCTGAGTTTTGGGTCGTAAATTATGGATCTGCATACTGTTTTTTCAGATCAGGTCATTTTCCCAAAGAACTTGAGGAAGTAAAGAATTAAAAACATAACAAATTTTTTTTGTAATTAAAACAAACAAAAAAAAAATGTTTGTAGTTTTTGTTCATATGTATTAAAGCCGGTATCTTTGCTAAAAAATGAAGCTACTTACGATGAAAATCGATGGATAAATAAACAATTTTTGAGTGGTTAAATGATACTGTGCAATAATTTTTTGCATGAAACAGTGGCAGGTAATAGTATTACTCATACGCCACATCGTACATGGCCGCACTCGCGCATGTCATATGGGTAACATTTTCTGTATTCAAATTTAATTTTTTTTCATTCGCAATGCAAACTTAAAATGAAAGTATGTTTAGAAAATTACCTGATCTAGATCTTGTTTATTTTTTCATATTTTTAAACCATTTCTATTCAAAGGAATATAAAGGATTGGATTGTAATCTTCTTTTGAGATTGGTTTCGTTTACCCCTAATACAGTGTTTTTTAGTGTAATTCGCACACAAGAGCCAATGAAAATTACAAATGGTATCTTCCTCGCCTATATTTGAAATTTTTTTTTATGTAATTGCCCTTGCGTTTTCGTAAAGCCTTTGCCATTGTTTTTCGGAGTTTGAGTGCTAGTTCCAGGGTTTGGATCAAAATTATTAAAAAAAAACATAAATGATAGAAAATGCTTTAAATCTAATGTTCGTTTTGGTTTATTCGTCCATTGAAACAAATTATTTCGTTACGGCTACAGGGTTAGTAGTCGTATTATCAGAAGTAGCATCCTGGTAGATCGTAGGCATTTTCTTGGTTTTTAATCGTAAGTGAATATAGACGAAAATAAATTCGAATACTGCGTTGATGATCCAAAATTGTCATTGTTGATAACATTATGAATTAGGCATCCCATGAAATATAAAGATGAGTCTAGCTTAAAAATTAATACTAAAACTTTATTAAATGTGAAATAGCAATAAACCGATTGCATTTCGTAGTTTTGTATTACAATAAAACTCTCGCACTTTCGTATCATATTTTCTAACTAAAAATTTGTATGCTTAAAATTATTTGTTTTGTTTTTTTTTCTGTTATAAAAATGTAAATAATGAATAGACACTTATCAATGCAGATGGAACAAATACGTAAAGTCATATATCTTTGGAGGAAAAATATGCTATTTAACTCGCGAGTCGACATGCTAAACTAGTGTAAACGTTTATATGTATGTCACAACCAATCAAATTGAAAATGAAAGGACTAGTTTCTATATTTTTTATTCACTCTAATATACTACATGAACACACAATAAAAGATAAAGAAGAGAATAATAAAATATGAATTAATTGTACAATAGAAGTTTATAAGTTATCAAACCAACTTAAGAACGACTATTTGTTCGAAGAATTAATTCCAGCAAATTTACAGTGACAAACAAAAGTATTGTCACAGTTAATTCTTCGCAATATATGCAAAGTTTTTTGTTCTAATTTGTTTTCGATAATTTTTTATAAAAATATAGTTCATTTTACACCAAAAAACATAAAAATAAAATCTCTAAGCTTTGTGCAAAACTCAGGCAAATTCATTAAATTTGCACACTAATTTGCAACTTTTTATTCAGAGTTTTGAGAAAAATTCTAAGTATGCAGTTTTATAGTCCATTCAATTTTATTATCACAAAATGCAAGTTTAACGATGCTTTGATTTTTGTCATTTTTTTTGTGGAAGTTGTTGCAAATTTTCTCCATACAAAAATTAATTGTCAAGTATGGAAGAACTTGCGTGAAAAAAAGAACCAAAAGTCAACGCGATTTTCTAGCGACTTTAAGCACTTTGTTATACTAAATTTGAATAGGCTATAAAACTGTATAGTTAGAATTTTTCTAAAAAATCTAAATAAAAAGTTGCAAATTAGTATGGAAATTTGATGAATTTTCCTGAGTTTTGCACAAAGTTAAGAGATTTTATTATTATATTTTCTGGTGTAGAATAAACAATATTTTTCTAAAAAATTATCGAAAATAAATTAGAATAAAACACTTTGCATATATTGCGAAAAATTCACTGTGCTAATACTTCTCTTTGGCACTGTATGTGCATTACTGAGTAGAATACATCGTGTTGGAATTCGAAGTTTATACATACATAACTAGTAGATTAACGCTAGGTAGCAGATATTTATATGGAAGAAGTATAGACACGAATATGTAACAAAACGTTTGATAACCACCAAATCCTGTTTATCTCTTTATTCTCGTAAATATCATAAATACTAGAGTAGCTAGTCGTTGGGGAGATACACAATATCTGCACAACACAATTAACCATAACTTTTCTAAGTAATTTTTGTTTTTTGTTTTTTTTTTTTTTGCAGAATTTATTTTCAACTTATTTTCAAACACAAACTCTAACAATGGTTCTCATATATTTTCAAACCATTAACGACACTTACGGTAAAGATATTTATTTAAAAGGGCCATGAACGAGACCTACTACTATGCAACTAGCAGACATTTTTCTAGTATTTATACGTGGGGAATGTAATGAAATGGTAACGATTACAACAATGGATTATGAAACGAAATGAAAATGAAAATGAACTGAAATGATCATCGTGAAGTGAATGAAGAAGAAGCAAAAAAGGCCAAAAAACAACAAAAGATTCAAACTTTAAGTTAAATAAAACAAAAGATAAAATATGATTATAAAAATTATGCAATTACCGAAAATTACAAATATATATAAATTGAATTGCTTATCAAACATCGAATCACTTATACAGATTTAATACAAAAAAATACAAATATATACTAAAATATTAAATAATAATTATTCAATAACAATAAGTAAGTTAAAAAATGAATTGTATGGCATTTTTTGATGCGCTGCAATTCACAATGCATTTCTTTTTTTTTTTAGCTATTCGCTTTGCTTTACAACAACGTCTACTTACATGGGCGTGCCTTACGTTCGACTGTTCCACTGCCTGCCGTTGCTGCCGATGTCGCGTGATGAGGTACTGTGGGCGTCTTCTTGCCGGCTGTTAGCCGTGCGCTGGGCGCTGTACTGGCAGAGCGCAGTTGACGTTTCGGTGAGACATGCTCAGCCGGACCAACGGATTGTGAACGCGCTGTTGTTGTTGTAAATCAGTTTAAATGATTTTTGTTGTTGTTTTTTTTTGGTTTTTTTTCGTGAAATTCATGATATAGAGGAATTTTTGGATTTTTTAATTTTTTTTGTTTGCAAATGAGAATTGCGAAAATTGATTGATATTTGTTTTTTGTTTCTTGTATAGTAGGTGTATTGAGCTCGAGGATTTGTGATATGTTTGAAACAGTGAATGGTCGTTTTTATTGGAAAGTTGACGTTACAAAAAACACACACATATAGAATTACATACAGTTGAAGTTTTACACATATTTATGTATTTTATGTACATACACAACGGAGCGAGAGATAGGTAAAATTATGTATATATTTTATGTATATAATATATTTATTGACAGAGACAAGTACACACACATATAGATCTAAAGAGAATTACTCACATAATTTTAAGCGCTAGACGCTACATGGTGAAAGGTGTACCTACTTTTTAAAGTGTGCAGTTGGGTTGATATTCTAGCTAACTACTATTTTTCTAGCTTGTTTGAGCGCTTATTTTTAAAGCATTGATGGTATTTTCATGTTCTTCACAGTCAATGATATATTTAAAAGATGTTTTTGTATTTATTTGACTCGTGCACGCGTTGAGGCTAGTATTGTACTTAAAAAAAAAAAAAAACTTTATAAAAAAGTCTCTTACTCTTATTTTCGCAGAATTTTACGCATAATAGATTCCCAAGGTTTAGATCAGCAATTTAAATTGATCTCATAACAAAAGACTTAAGATGCGAACTTGTTGATAAACTTCCCTGCAGCCAAAAGTACCGGTATTTGACACCTACCGGTCACAAAGATAACATACTGTTCTTGGTTCCGGTTCTTATGTATAAGTAAGACTGGCAACTTTAACATGAGGTTGTCATTGGAGGTTGCCGAGTTCCACTACATACATATATAGAGACTTTTGGGACAGAACTGCAATAACCTCAGAGATTGTTAAGATATCGTTTTTAACCCTTTGTTACCATTTTATAAACTGCTCACACAAATAATTAAAATTCTATTTTTCACAAAAATTTTTTCTAAAATAAAAGAAAAAAAATAAAAATATAATTTAAAAACTTATGGAGCATTGAAATTTGTACGATATATCGTATAAAATCAGGGAAAAGAGTAGTAATGTGGCATTTTTTGGTACATACACGGGTTTGCTTCTTCGGTCAAAAAAAATTGCATTTCCATGCTGCAGATAAAATTACATTTCTATTCAAATCTACATATGTACATAGTTGCAATAAACTGAAAATTGTGATATCTCTTCAAATTTATTCGTCACTGAAATTCAAATTTGCATGGAGTAAATTAGCAAATGCAAATCTATTGTATGTACATATGTACATGTGTACAGTTTTTTTTTTTAAGTTTAAATATATATATATTTTTTTTTATTTTTTGTTAAAAAATATTTTGTTTCTATGGCTTGTTAACGTTTTATTTTTAATATTTTTATTGAGCTTTGTACCACGATTTTTTATTAGGAAAAATTGAAAAAGCAACAAAGTCTATAGTAGTTGGTGGAATAAGGAAAATGAATTAGCAACAAGAGTTTACGGGATGTACATAGCTCAGTGGTTAACGCTTCTGACTTTGAACATAGAATACGCAGGTTCGATCCCTGCTGAAGTCTAGAAAAAGGAAGTCTGATGAGGAGATGTGGTGATCTCCGAAATAGTGCTATAACTTCTACCGCTTAGACTTTGTTGCTTTTTCAATTTTTCCTAATAAACAATCGTGGTACAAAGCTCAATAAAAATATTTTTTTTCTATTTTTTATGTTGATTCTCTCTAATCAAAAAAAGGCGTAACCTCAATTACATTGTGACTTTAAAGAAAAACATCCATCTATATACTTAATTCTTAAAGGTATTTTTCTGTTACCAAATGACAAATTTGTTTATTTGTTAAAAAAAAGGTGTTTTAAAGAGCTGAAAGCACTGTATCCGGTAAATAAACCAGCACATCTTCCATAATGCTGCATTAACTTGAATGCTTGAAACGCCATTTTGAAGGAAAGCTTCACCGCTTGACGCAAAACTTAAAACTTTTTAATAGGGTTAACACACGCTCAAAATTTTTGGGACTTAAATATATATCGAGTAAAATAACGCAACTATTTAAAAATCTAAATCTCTATACCGAGCATAGCTGTAAATGGACTGTCCTATGTGAGCTGTCTTTTTGTGGTGTTTGTGGCTTCCCCAGGAAAGTAAAAAAAAAAAATCCGTTAAAAAAATTCCTGAAAAATTTATTTTCCATAACTTTTGTAACGAAAATTTTTCAGTTCTCTAATACTAATGGAAAATATACCTTCTGATGACCACAAAACCATAATCATAGCAGATAAATGTGCCACTAGAAGTCATTAAGTGAAAAGTGTTGTACCCAAATGTTCCAACAAAAAGTTTATTTTGGGCGAGACAAAGACCGCCGGGTACGCTAGTACCTAACCTTAACATTTATTTGAATATTGTTATTGAGCGGTAACGAACGAAGTTACCACATCTATTTATATTTTTTTTTTATAATTTAATACAAAATAAATTCATATACCTGGCCTAAGGTTTGTTTAATGGTAATTAAATATCATTTTTATTGAAATATTTTTCAATAGGTGTCTTTGCTCGTTTAGACATTTCAGTTTTAAAGCTATTTTAGTTCTCTTTCATTTCATAGCATTTTTTTTAAGATGGATTACCGGTTTGTTTATTATTAGGAGAGGACTTTTGTTTCGGCCTTAAAAAATATTTGGATATTTTTAACTGTTAAAAAAATAATTGTTATTTTCGGCCCCTGAATCTCTGTAATTTATTTGTTTTCTTGTGGTGTTGTCTTCGCAGGAAAACGCCTTGCAATTTTTACCTTTTGAAAACTTTCGCCTTAATAACACATTATACAAGGACAATCATTTTCTAGCATAAAACACCATCCACCTGTGCTTTTTGTTATTTATCTAGTTTACTATTATTAATTTTTTGTTTTGTTGTATCACCGAGCTTGAAAACTGAGTTTCCTTTTTTAACTTCTGTTTCAAGTTTCAAAGAATAAAGTGAGATCGGTTAGATGATTGAGCGTAGGTACAACTTTTTTTTTCTAAAGTCGAAAATCAAAAGTGCCATATAAATATGAAGTACAACGGTCTGCTAAAAAGATCATGACATAGCTAGACAACTAGAATTTGTTTTGTTTTTAATTTTAGAACGAATATCCGGTATGAAGACATATTGAACAGGTGGTAGCAGTAGAGAAGCTTATTTTATTATTATTTTTTTTAAATCACATATTAGGTTTCTAAAATATTAAGAATTGTTATTTATTTTTACAAAAATTCTAAATTTCCAAATGTGTTTGCATGTCAAATATTTTTTTATAAAAGGAAGAAGAACGAACTTTTGGCACGTTCGCTTAACTCAGCAGCCCAAACATTGATTTCTGGTCATTGCAAAGGATACATCCATACTTCCGACACAAACGAATATACATATGTGCCAAGAAAGAGAATCGCACCAATTTTTAATTGTTTTTAATCTCACTTTCTGATATGTAAACATCTTAGCACTTAGTATGGATAAAATTCACGAAAAAAATCTATAATTGCTTCTTGCGTGTACAAATCAAAATTTCTGGGTTAGTTCACGACTAGTTTGGGCACATTTTGGGACTATTTCATAACGATTTTGGGACTTCTTCGCGATCATCATCGAACCAGTTTGGGATAATTTCGGGACCTGCTCAAGATCATTCCGGTACAAGTGCACACGACTCTTTCAGAACTAGACACAGCATGATCCTGAAATAGTCACTAACTATTCCTGAAATTGCTATAAAAAAAGTCGTAATTGGATGAAATTAAAGTTCAATCTATAACCTAAGTTATTCATAAATGTGAATGGCAACAACAAATACAGGTAAATCTGGTTTTTCCTCTATTGCTAATTCCTGTTTCATGTGCCTTGCTCGATATGGTTTTTGTTATTTTATGGCGATTGGCTTTAAGTTAGTTAAGATAGTAAAATTAATTATGTATATCTTTACTGAAAGCGTTTAGCAAAAGAATTTCAAATATTTTTGCTAATACCAGACTTAAAAGAACAGTCATGGGTACACATAGGCGTATACATTTTAAACGCTGGAGCGAATTCTCTTTACCTTCTAAACCCTTTATTACTAACATACATACATATATGAATAAAAAAAAAATAATTAATTGTATACTAAATATTGAAGTAAAAATATTTCAGCATCAGTTTTAAAATAAATTTCGTTTGATTTTAATCAGTCAATGAAGCCAGATAAAAAAGCAAATTATGTAAGATGTTTGAATGGGTGAATATGAATTATTATTTCTTAATAAGAATAAATATCACAATATACATACGTATGTATATATATAAACTTTATATTCTATATCTTGAGCTCAATAGCGTATTGGCTCGTGCTATGTGTATATTGTAATTGATTTAAATTATCTCCTATGCTATGCCTGAAAAAAACTCTAAAATAATCGAATACGCTTTTTGTTCAAAAAGCTCCTTTGAACACTTAACGCTTGTTCATATTCGGCATAAATAGTTCCACTACTTAAATGCAGTTATAAGCTACTTGTGTAGGTGTGTAGAAGAATTTATAAATAGTCTTGCATAAAAGTTTTTTTTTTAACATAGTATGTAGGTAATGTGGTGCATTTCAAAGAAAAAAAGCAAGCACAGCAAAAGTGTAGATAAATATTGCGTATATATTTTTTTTTTATTTTTTTTTCATAAATATTTTCGGCATTGCAAACTCTTTTTGATATATCATAAAAACATATTCAAACAAATCGAAGTATATAAATTCTGCGCAAAAAAAACTGCAAATATTGCAATATAGGTTTAACAAATAGAAGTGCAAACTAAAATAAAAAGGGAAAAACAATTATTTCAATAAAATTTAACAGCACGCTTTTCAATCAGTTTAGTAACTCAATTCGTATAACATTTTTTACTATCGAAATTTTGTTGCTCACATTTTTTTATCACATGTGCAAAAATAAAAAGAAAAAAATAATAATTAAAATTCAAATAGATAATAACTAAATTTTGGATAGTTTATACTTCTGGCCCACGTTAAAATCAAGAATTGTAAAAGTTACACGGTGTTTGGTTTTCGTGTTTTCGGGAATGTTGTGAACTAATTTTCAACAAATTCCAGTGCGTGTTTTGCAATTTGTGGTTTATTTTTTGGACTTTCATTTTGGTACTCTCACTTTCATAATTTGAATTTCACATTTGATTTTTTAATAGGTTTGCTCGATTTTATATGTAAAGGAGGAAGTGTTTCAACAGCACACACATACACACACACACACACACTGTGCAGTGTGCCTTTTTGCGGTAGTGTTTCTTTGTAGCAAAAAAAAATCAAATAAACAACATTTTCGTACTTACTTTTGATCACCTTCTTGGGGCTGCCTTTTTGTGGACTACCCTTCTGTGGTGAACCATGGCGAGAGGCAGCTGTTTTCTTTGGGCTGCCACGTTGTGATTCTGACTCACGTTTGGTGATAGCCGGCATCAATTTCTCGCGTGTAGGCGATGGCAAGAGTGCACCTTCCTCAACATCTGTAATAAGTAGAAAGTAATGGGGTGTGAGTAGGGAATTTCACAAGATGAGACTATCCTGCTGCCATTTGAAGAGCTTTCGTTGTAAATCGAAATGGTAATGCATTGCATGTTACAATTTCGTTTGAACACTAACAAAATGAAACGGAATGGTGTGGAGTGGATTGGAATGGGGTGAAAATGATTGATAAAAAGAAAAAAATTGTGGAGCTAAGAGAAGCTTTAGCAAAGAGTTAAGAAGGAAATCGATTTAGGGGAAATTAAAGCCATAAAGTGATATTTAGCTGAATATCTTGACGCAATTATTTACTTCGAATTACGTTTAAAAAAATTTTGTTTTAGATACACTGTGAAAAATAATTGCTAAATAAAAACAACCTTGATTGAAAATGGAGCAAATGGACGAGTTTAAATAGAATATAGAAAGATAGGCGCCGAAAAATTATGTGATGTTTAACGGGTGAACTGCTTAAGTTTTTATTGACTGAAAGTAGTGCACAAGATTTCGTGTCATCATTTATCTTCGAGTATAAAAGAAAATATTTAGTAAGTGTACTGATACTTTGCCTTCTTTATTCGATTTATACTTATTTGTATATGTTTAAAACTTTAACTTATGAAAAAGGACCTGGGTAATTTGAAGTAACTTTCAAGTGTACACAAATTTTAAATTTCGAGAAAATTTTACAACAATTTTTTTATTTTATTTTTAGAAACATCTTATAATAAAGTGGTAATTTTATGTGTCTACCTTATTTTTTTCCACACAAAGTTACTATGTTCGAAAATTTTTTGGTATCGCAGAACAGAACATCGTCAAAAAAAAAAAATAATTGACGAAAATCAAACTGAATTCTTAGCCACTTTAAATCTAGACGTTTTTTTACTAGAATTTAGATCCCTGTCGAAGATCGCCACCATACTAAGTGAGCGTGATATCACATCGTCCCTAGGCTACAGCTCCGTGAACATCGGAGCCATAAGAGGGTTCCCACTGGGACGTGTTCTTTCTCCCCTACTCTGATCTCTCGTCGTGGAAAAGTGGTTAAGCCGCTGTTGGTTGATATCAAACTGGTGTGCCAATAAGGGCCTCCACATGAACTCGCAAAAGACTGTTCTGGTACCGTTTACAAGAAGGTATATTGGTTCTCTCTCAAAAACTCCAACAAACTCCAAATGATGGCTCTACTCCTAGGTTTGGCCACACTTCATATTTTTTCCAAGCAGCGGAAGTTTCACGAAAATGCAAAATTATGAAAGTACTCTTAAAACCCACACACAACGCAAAGTTATTTTGAGCAAAAAAACCAGCTCTAGGAATCTGCAAGTTCTCCGACACTATGCCAAAAGAAATTTGCTTTGAAAGGAAATTTCAGGTCAAAATTCCACACCGAAATGTCTAGTCAAATGGGTGACCAGAACTGGATCTCAGAGCAGGAGCAGATTGCGATATGTGCTACTCTGTCTCTTAAGAATCGATCGATATATCTACTATATGAAGAAAACTGATGCGTTTTCCAACATTATCTTGGGGTTCTTGGGGTATTCTGAGACTCAATGGACTTAAATTGTCGCTGCAAAGTCAGATTATAGAGTTTTTAATACCTGTTGTTCGAATTGCTACTTAGAAAAATCTAAGTTTTCCATTTCCCCCCAAACTCATATTTTCTGTATTTAAGGTTGATCGGGAACAAGATTTATCGCCAAAATCAGAAAGCATTTTAATTTACAAACTTCATAAAACATTTTAATCAAGGCATTGATTAATGCAGAAAAGTTGGTATTTAATAGGTTTATGCAATCTCGTTGCCAGCTACGTGGCAATAACGTAACGTCTATATAGTCTTTAAATTTCTGCATAAGACCATAAAATTAGAAGTTTCTATCCACAGAAAGTCCAATTTTACAAATATGATAGCTTAACTGGCAGTGTCTTGGCAGTTTCAGACTCCGCGAGAGTGAGTGGATTACCTTATGCTCGGACTGCTGTACAGGTGTGGGACTTTGAAATGTTGAATTCGCAAGGTTGACTAAGTGCAATTAAAATATAGAATTTATGGGGGAATGCGGATTCAATTAATTCACAATTTTCTATTACATTGATAAAAATTCAATTCACGAGTGTAAAATAATTTGAGCATAATTAAAACGCTTTTTCGAAACTTAACATTTCACACCATAAGTAAAAAAGAATTGATTTTCTTATCTATCATATCTTGTTTAAATTATTTAAATCTAAGTACATAGCAAAAAATTATTTACCTCCAAAGTAAAATTTTGGCAACAGAATAGCCCTTATTGCTCTTTATTTGTATAGCATTAGTATATGTATCTCGGTATATGTAGTTTAGTATCTGTGTGTGTATGTGGTATACCATTGTATGATAATGAAAATGCATATGAGTTATAAATTCTATACCAGGACCAGTGGTGCGTTCCAAATGATGGCGTATATTGCTAAAACGAGCTGGCAGTGCGGAAATCTCATCTTTATTATCAATCATATGGGCATGGCCAGGAACTCGGGATTTTTGTGTGGCTTTACTTATTGGTATGGATTTTTTATTATTCTCCTGTTCCTTTTCTTCTTTAGTAATAGGTCTGCAATAATTATAGAGGTTGAAGAGTAATTATGCATATAGATGTTTTTTTTTTTTTAATAGCAAGTCAAGAAATATCACCTATGCACGGAAGATGCTAACGATAAGGCGGACAGCGAACTGCGCTTGGAAACCTGTTCCCAAAGATCCTTCTGCTTTTTGTATAGTTCTGGATCGATTTCTCTACCCCAACCACGGCACTGAAAAGATAAAAAATACATAATAGTAGTTAGGCTATGTAATTGTAACTCAAAGTTTGCAAAACAATTTTTACCAATTTGTCAAGGTAGTTTTTTTGTAAGACTTCCATGTCAGAATAAACAAAATCTTTCAATCTATGTTGCCTACTGCCTCTAAGTTGTCTTACAAAACACTTTCAACTGTCTAAGCCAGATTTTTCTAAGAAATATACGAGTCAAGTTCAAAAGGCGGTAATCAAATACTTGACGCAACCTGTATATGGCTTGGCTTTCTTGCTCAGAAAAATAACTTGTATCCAAAAAGTCTCCTACTTTACAAACTTCTCTCGTTTAAGCGACTTCTCTTCTGCCTCTCGGCTATAGCTAATTTCCTACTCACGAAATCAACTTTTCCAGAGGAGCTTAAATTTTAAGACTTTTTTAAGTAACTTTTTAACCCACTTTTTTTGATTTTCTTTAAATAGATATTTAAGCTTTTGTTTTACCTTTACTGGTTTAAATTGCTGTATTACTCTTATCATGCATTCAATTTTTGACTCACTTTGTATTCGCCCGCTTTCTTTCGCAGCTCAACGACTTCCTTGAACCACAAATCCAGATTCGGTTGCGAACGTGGCGGTGCAGTGCCATTTAACAGCACCTCCTGCTCCTGTTGCTTATTGTCCACACCATCGCCCTTGCCCTTGACCTCTTCGAAGCCGAAATTCTCCTTCTTGGTGATAAAGTGATTGGCGCGTTCCTGATCGAATGCTTGCGAGAATGGCCGTATAGTCGTTTTTCGTTCGACCTTCTCCACAATGGTCACTTGTCTGCACATTTTGTTTTATTATTTCAATAACATAATTTTTTTTTTTTAGTTTTAATTTTAAATAATTTGTGCCGTTTGTTGATCAGGTGCAATCAAGCATGCCACAATTTTTTGCAATTGCCATTTGTCATTTCCAATTCGGTGGTGGTTGGTGGTGATGATGATTTTTAGGTCGCATAAAACAGAAGGGTGCGCCGAGTTTTTATATTTTCAGATTTTTTTTTTATTTTATTTTTTTTTTCAATTTCGTTGAGCATTTATTTGAAAGCAATGTGCAAATTGTGAATTGCAAGTCAAGTCCACCATGCAATACGCGGTTAAGGTTGTATTGTTGTTTGAGTTAGTTTTTGTTGTTGTTGTTGTTGTTTAAATTTTGTGTTGGCAGTTTGCATATTTAAAGGTGTACGAGTTATTCGATCGATGTACATAAATATGTGTGCGCGTGTGTGTATGTGTGAGTGTATGTACGAAGCGGCGGTAATCGCACAACGAGCAGCGGAAATGACAAATTCGAAAAGAAGTACACAAAGAGAAAAATTATTTTAAAATTTCATATGTTACCAAGAGCACTGTAGGATTGGATAGAGAAAAAGGCAATGGAATGAATGATGATCAAGGCGATGATGGTGATGGTAAAGGTGCTACATACAGGCAAACGTAGTTAGATGATAGTAAAGGTGTGGAAGGATATGGGGCTGAGGTACCAACTGAGGTATGATTGAGCAGCGGATGTTGGATAAAATTGCATTTTTTTGCTACTTTCATGTTTTCTTTTTTGTCCTCAACACATCCCTTGCTGTCGCTAAGTGAGGAATTTGAACTCAAAAAACTATATGGAACATAGAAAAAATTCAATTTGCAATGCAACTCTATGAAAGTACATATGTAAGTGAGTGCATGAGTTCGAAGAATAAAGAAAATTTGAAATGTGCCAAAAATAGGGTAAACTAAAAAAAATAAAATGAACGTGAAGAACAAGAAAAACTGTGTTTGAAAATATGAAATAATTTTTGCATACTTTTCATGTGGTTTGCTTTCTTCGGCATCGCTAACCAGCGGCTCCAACTCATGTAGTGTAGCTGAAAGCACATAAAAAATTTTATTTTTGCTCCATTTCATTTCAAAGACATTTTCATTTATCAACAATATTTTTTAGTGTGGTTTGGTTTCGTAATGTAGTAAGTAGGTACTATGTAGCAGAAAAAGTACAAAAAAAAATATTAAAGTTATAATTCGCTAGAATTAATTTTTAATGTTTTTTTTATTATCAATAAATTACTACAAAAAAATTAATAAGGGTATAGAAGTCTAAATAAGTAAATTCATTTGAATGTGATGTATTTAGGTGAAAATAAAGGTTTTTTTCGTTCGCAGAAAATTATCTCGCTTAGCACATATTATGTATGAGTAATTAAAATACTGAAAAATATTTTTTTATTCCTTAGCCTATATGTAATTAACTCACTGGAAGAGGTGACCGGCATACATTTTTTTGTACAAAAATTTAGCAAAGTAAATATATGTGTCTCTGCATGCCCTACGGCTTTTGCCCTTAATATATGTAGCTCCGGCAGAATTCTCGGAACTATCAAGCGAGCGGTGCATTATTTGGAGTATCAACAATCTACTACTTTAATCAGATTTTTAAGTGGTATTCTTATAGTTTCAAGCGTTTTCATTGATCCTAGAAATTTTTTTTTACCTCGAAAAGAAAGAACTCATTAGGTGTGTTCCACACGAGCCACACGAGAAAAATGAGTAACAAAGAGCGAATGCCCTCCACTTTTCGATCGTAAATGTCTTCTTCTTCGTACCTGAAACAGCCCGGACTTTTTTTCCGCGTGCAAGAAGCCAGTTTGAAATAACAGCCGTTGTTTATTTACATCCGATTTTGTAAAATACATAAAAAGAAAACAGCACTAAAGGTTCAGAATCGTATGTGTTTGCTAATGTTATTAGCTATATAAGATAAATACACATAAAATGATTAGAACTGATTTGTTGATTCCGGGCACGAAAAGTGGTTTTTGCGTTCCTCCGCTCTGGGCACTGACGGCACGGATTTACACATATTTGACACTTGTGAGAGAGTAACTTATTTTTACGCTCTAATTACAGAAAGCGCGTGGAACAAACCTATTTTCTTACGTGTGATTCCTATGGAAAACTCGCGCGACCTCTTACTATTGTCCGAGAGGGGTGAGATTCATGGAGGATCATTGCTATATCAAATGCTAAAATTTGAGTCTTATTCCGTTCGCATTTCAGGTTTTTTTATTTTATTTTTTTCGATCGAATCGATTACAATTCAGATTAATTTTCTGTAGGGATGGTCGCTTTGTGGTTAGCATCCTTTACATACTGGTTTTGTTTATAAACGGAAAGTATGATGTGACCGAATAATCTTCGGGCGTTCATTACACATCCGTACTCGTTTCTAAATTGTAATGTACATTGTAAGCAGGCTGCCTGAGTACAAAGCGCATTACAATTTTTAATTTGTCAGCGGCGTGGCGGCATATTGTGGACGGACCCCATCTAGCAAAGCGCCGCTGGGAGTATATAAAAATCGACTCTTTTATCCTCGTTCGTGGCACATTTAGCAGTGTGAGCAGCCCATATGCGAGATTCGTTAATTCACAAGTATGGGAGTCGTACGACACGGCTAATTTGGTGGGTTCACTCTTAAATTTTTGATTTTAAGATTCCCTGAAGTAAGAACCGGCTGTTCATCAATAGTTTTAGCTGAACGGGATCGTTTGTATTGCAGCACGAGGCTTGTTATATAAACAAGTAACTTAAAAACCCGTCAATCAATGGGTTTTGAAATGTGCTTGTGATCAGCCACTTCAAACCAAATTGTATTGAAAAAATTAAATGTGCCTTGAATAGTTAATGATGTTCTCACTTTTCACAAAAGAAGCGACATCCCAGTTGGGAGCACGTTTTAACATTGTGGTGCTGCGTGACTTGAACGGTAAACACTACTCAATCGATGAAACGCTGCGAGCCAGATACTTGCCATTTGGAAACTTATGCTCTTCTCTTATATATATCAATTCCCGAGAGTTCCTTAGGCTCGCAAAATCTTTTAAGCCTATTAGAAATTATTAAAAATATTCCACCTCATCACTGTGGCAGTGAGGATCAGATGTCAGTTTTAGTCTTACCGCGGGAATGTCGAATGGACAGTGATCTGTCAGAACCCCACCAAAAGCGGGAACAGTATTTATACTACGAGTTAACTTTGACCGCCGCCTATTCATGCTGTGACAAAATGACCTGGCAATTTGGCACATCAGCTTTTTTGTTCAACGTTCGCTGAGCTGACATGGCGCCCATTTGCTTAAAAGTGAACCGAAGTAGGTCAGTGGCGCTCCCAACTCCTACGTAAAACCCTAAGAGAGTAGATGCTTTTGTAACAGCTATTCTACTTCTTCTTTAATGACAGCCACTTTTATTATTTAAAATCCTTCAGCTTTCAGCTGATGTAAGGCTTTCCTACGAATAATTGTTGTCCATTTTGGATCAGTTGGGCCTACTATTTAAGTTAAGAGGGATTATGCTCAAAATGTCGTTCAGCGTCAGAGTAGTAGTGGTCCGCAATATACTGCTAGCACAAATGAAGGCAGCGCCTTATATTCGTTTTAGCTGCCTAAGAAGTATTGCTGTAGCGAATCACCCTAGGCGAGAAACCCATAGAATACAGTAGGCTGAACTACGGTTTCATATAGCCAAGAAATTAATTTTAGCGTGAGATCACTTAACTTATCATTAACTCCTCTTGAACAATATAAGCCCCCTGACCAGGACGATAAAATCCAAGGTAGTTAGAGGCTGCTTTGACACGCTAAAAATTTTGACAGCTAAAAACACGGCAACACTCTGCTGGATATCAGGCCATTGCGGAAACGAAGGAAATGAGTTCGCCGACGAGTTGGCACGAGAAGGATGGTTAACTATGTTAACATTGTTAACATATGGATTGTTAACAATGTTCGACCCCTTTGTTATAAATAATTTGCCTATCAGGGCCATTTTAGGTTTCATTAGTCGATATTTCAGAGAGTAGTGTCTCTTGTTCTGTTATACCCACACAAACTAACTAACTAAGGTAACTTTAGATCCGATCCTAAATGGTGTCCAGGAATCTACTCTTAACTATAAATGCACTTGCTTATCTTTATACTAATACTACATAGATTCAGACAAGCAGTTATTGGATCAAATAAGCCAAGAAGCAGAACAACATCAATATTTCTAGTATCTCATTTGTGCTAAGCGAAATATTTTCCTCGTAAAACTTTATGTGATGTAAATAAAGCGAGCAAAGCAACAAAAATTCGAATACCAAAACAAAGTAAATTAAATTCAAACTTAAATATTGGAGGAAAAGGCAGCGTTGAAATGAAATTTTTGCGGCGTGAAAACGAAACAGGAATGAATGCAATAAACAAAACTAGACCAAATACTGTAATATATTCATTTGGGGCCAGTGCAGCAGCCGTTGCGAACGTGTGAAGGGTTCAAGGATCTCTTCAAAAGCGCTTAGGTGTGCACTCTTCATTAGTGGAATAATTAATTGGTTGGACAGTTGTATAGGTAATTGGAACTGGCAACACAAAAGAAAAAGAAGCAAAAAAAAAACCATTTTTCGTAAATATGTATGTATGTGAATACACGTACAAATGTCTGTTAGTATAACTATGCGAATGTTAGTAATGTTGGTTAGTAGTAAATGTGTGTTTGTATGCCGGTGTACTGTAGTTGATTGCTTGTTTTTTTATGAGATAGTATTTTTTTTTCTGTAAATGCAGCGCATGAATGTCATTAATATAGAACGAAATTTCATCGAACAAATTAGGTTGAATTGAATTACACGAATAAATTAATGTAGTAAATGTAGCAAGTGTCTTTTGAGGAGAAAAAGAAATAATAAAACAAAAAGGAAAGAAGTAAAAACAATCCCAAAATGACGAAAATATAAGTACATAAATGCGAAAGCTTTTGTTGCCAAAGAATTCACCAAATTAGCAATCATTCTTTTTCACTCAAGCGGGAGAGATTTTTTCACTATTTATTGCGTTTTGCTTAAAAATGCTTTTGAAAAAATATAAAAAAAAGGAAGTAAGCAGCATTTTGTTGGCTAAGTGTATAGTAGTTTTCAGCGAAAGCGGCAGAAATTTGGAATTTCAAAGCTCAATTTCACGCAAAATCAGAAAGCTAAGTTAAAGAATTGAAAATTAATATTTTTTTAAATATACTTTTTAAACTTTAAAATTGTCTGTCATCTGAGTATACTAACTAAAGCTGATCTGAGCTATTCATAATAGCGTAGTATCCAGATATCTACGTCTATAAGTTTGCGAATTTAACGGGCCTAATAAGAAGTCAAGGACTATTTTTCCTCTATCTTTTATATAATTTTTCACAGAGATTATGCCGGAAAAAAATTAAAACTGATTGAAACTCTGCCATAAACACTGTCATACTGTCATAATTTTAGCAAAGCTATTTACGCGCAAATAAATAGATTTATTCTAAATACCTTTAAACCTAAGTATGTTTGTTTAACGCCAATTCTTTTAGTGACCAAAATGTCCGTATAAATTATATTAATGCAAAGCTATAAATTTAAACGACAAGTTTAAACAGGGACCGCAAATAATTATAATTTTGAAATGTGCACTCAAACAATCATGCTGAAGCAGAAATGCAAAACAAACATACCTCTTGTAAGTCGGACTACCTTAACCCATTTACGCCCAAACAAAAGCGGTTGAAATTTTATTATATGTAATGTATTTCTGTGATCATAAAACCCATTTTAAACAAACTTAGGAATTAAAATAAACGAAAAAAGCTTAAAAGTAAACTTTTGGGAGTGTACTTTTTTTTAATACAGCGGGCACTTATGCGTGTTAATTTTTAAATAATTATTTGAGAAGGCATAACGTTTTTTCATATCCTGTACATTGCCATATTATAACCCCATGACGGAAAACACTGTTTATGTACGTGGATACTCGTAACCCACCACCATTGCTTGCTACGAATATAAATACCTCACATTTTTTGT